AAAAAAAAAACCTGATTTTTGAAGTTTCAAATTATAAACCTTATTTTTGAATTGGTGTAAAGAATACACCTTATTTATGAATTTTTCCCAATTGTTTAATGTCAGTCTCGCGGTTTTGACATGTTTCTATTTGATTATTCAACCTACGTTTTTATTTTAATTTGACCATTTCATCTTATCAAATTCAATGACCAAATTGAAACATGTCATAAGATGCAATTAGGAATGCATGATATAACTCATATTGGATTCTAAATCAGCATTGAATAATTAGTTTACTAAACAAATTGGAAAGGAACTACACAATGCAAATTTTGGGTTCTTAAAAGTTTTAATATTTTGCAAAAGATGCAGATTAAATGTTAAACAATTGTCAAGTCGGACGATCTAACATTCACGTGGGATTCACTTTTAATTTTAATCAAGTTTTAATATATTAAGGTCACAAATTTGTACAATTTGGTCACAAACTATAAATTTTATATGTTACAAATTATTTTACTTTCATAATTAAAAAAAAATTATAGTTCACAATTTGTTCATTGGTAACAAATAAAAAATTTATACGTCACAATTTATTTATCGGTTACAAATCACAAATATTATAAGTCACAAAATTTCAATCCGAAATTTTATATGTTACAAATTATCTTATGATCACAATTCAAAAAATTTATAGGCCATAATTTGTTTATCGATCACAAATAAAAAAATTATACACCACAATTTATTTATCGGTCACAAATCACAAATATTATAAGTCACAACTTATGAAACGATTACAAATTTTCAAATTATCGATCACAAATTAACAATTTTTTAAGTCACACATTATTTTTTTGTCACAATTTATCTATTTCATTGCTCACATATTGTTTACTGGTCGCAAATTAACCAATTTTAGGGCTGTCCGTGGGTCGGTTCGGTTCGGTTCTGAAGATACCCGAACCGACCCAAAACTTTCGGGTATTTAATAAATGGACCCGTCGGGTCCAAATATAA